ACAAGATCCCAATGATATGCAACTGTACTTTAAACCTAAAATACACCAATAAACTTAATGGGAAAAAGAATCCAGCAATCTCAGTCATCTACAGTCACAAACTCCTCATGAATCCCTATCTGACATGGAGGATACACACACTGGAGAGCTGTCATTATGTACAGTAGAAGACCCAATGGCCTCATGTTTAGACTAGCCCTGTTTTCCTCAAAGACCCCGATCCTGCCTGAGGAGAGAGCAGTATGGTCCTATAACCCAACAGGGGAATTTGAATATAGAACTGGAAGATGAATTTACATATGGGGCACCCTTCTTATATGAGGAGCTGGACTTCATTATGATGCCTTTGTCTGTCAAGGCCCCTGAGGGTTCTCCATGAAGGAAAATCATGAAATGTAATGATCACGGTTTGTATCTAGATGCATCCTGAAAACCTCATGCGGACATAGGTTGGGAATTTTCAGAGGTGGCTGAATTTTCAGAGGTGGCTCGGTAATGTTGGGATTGATTCTTGGTGCATCGCCAAGATCAAGGGCACTAGGATTAAGGTTGTGACTGCTACCTGCTTAAGTAGTCTGGATAAAATATAAGGGTTTACAAAGTGCTACGGTCATCCCTTGTTGCTTTTACTACCCTCTAACTTGTATTATTGTTACCCCTCTGCTGTGTGCTTACTCTGCCTTTGAGCTAGCCAAACTATCAACTGAAGCCTCTAACTAACTGTAAGCCAACTAAACCTTTTCCCCTTTAATTTTGGGTGCTTGGTATTTTGTCACAGCATTAAGAGAAAGTAACTAAACACAGACATTCGGAGATGGGACAGCAGTGGATGTATCAGAATGACAGAGGGGATGCTGACATGTCTCTGCCTTATTCCAGCTAAAAGTACATATAAATGAAGGGAAAATGGGATTCTTAACCAGGTTCCTAAGACAAAAGCTGCATGCTGTGTCCTGCAGTGAGATCACCTGAATATACATTAAAAATAAGACTGAAAGAGCCTCCTCACAGTCCTGGGAGCCAGGCAGACTGGAGTTTGTGCTGTGCTCAAGCAGACATTTGCCCATTACTGTGAGAGCAGGTGGTTAAATCCCTGTTCCCTGTTCAGGGGTAGACTCTTGTTCACCCCCACAGGTCCCTGTGGAGTCTGTACAGGTGACAGTTGTACCTGCTTCTTCCTTCCCCTGACTTCCTGCAAATGGACTGAAAAATTCTCCAGCAGGCACTTTTGAATGTCCATGGTACAGTCATCCAACTCTTCAGTTCTACAGTGGAGGTTGCAGCTCAGGTCTCAGCTTGTTGATTGAGATGGGGGAACAAGAGCTGGAGGGAATTTATTTACTGAGAGTTTGTGGTTCCTCTGCTGATGCAGTTCAGGGATAAAAGCCACTTAGGAAAGAGGTTAGCATATTACAAGGACCTGTAAAACTTAAAAACTATGAGTGCAAAGAAAAATTTCCTTTTTAAAAGTTGTTGGTGTCAGGTGTTTTGTCTCATGGATGCAGAGGAAATTGCAAGCCAGCCCAAAACTCTCCTTGTGAACTGGGTACCCTTGGGGGCATTTGTCCTGTTTTGCATTGAGAATAATGAGCAAAAGACACATGTAAGTGATTTAAAGTCTTGTGAGTTTGCCCTGAAAGAAAACTCCAAAATTTTATGTGTGAATAATGTGGCAGAGGAGGGCTTGTTTATTGAAAATATTAGTATTAAAATGAAACCAAGTCTTTTACAACAGGACAGTAGGATAAATACTTTGAGGGAATGTGAGGAACCAGCAAGTCTTCACCCTTTGTAGTATCAAAAAATGTAAGATAAAATATTTGGCTTTCAGAACAGATCCTTCGAATGGCAACAGACTCAGAATGGAAATACATTTTCCAGGATTCTGTTCACCCTGATCAGTGACTCAGACCTTAGAAGAATATACAATCACCAACAAGATGCAAAAAACTCAGCCACTGCTCCAGTGGGTGGGAGAACTTGACACCATGCCTGTGGTGCTGGCTTTGTGTCCATGCAGAATGGAGGAGTTGTTGCATCAGGGAGCCTTCCAGTCAGAAGTTGCGGGTGTCAGGTGTTATGTCTCAGTGACAATAAAGTAGCAAGACAAGAATCAATAACGCCTTTAATCTAAGGAGTATGTTTTGTTAATAAGTCAAAGAAACCACCATCAAAATTGTGTAGAGAACATTCCAGCACAAGTGAACTCTCAGCAGCATCACACTCCTGACCTTTTCATCTTTTCCTCAATCTTCAACTACAAGTCCCATTCTGTTTCACTTCTCCCACTTCCACAAACATTCTTTCAAAATTCCTCTTGACCGGACCATCATTTAAATTATAGAAATTATACCAACACATTTCAAATTCACTTTCATTTCTTATTCGTTTTCTCCTCCTCTTGTTTCTGATCTACACTTTCTTTTTTCCTATTCTTTTCCTTCTCCCACCAATCACATCTCGACCAGTGTATATTGTACTGAGATCCAACTTGTGAATGAGTTCCATCCCAGGAGACAATGTAAGTTGGATTTCTTCATAAGTCCAACGAAGTGGAACAGCAGACTTCCCGTGTTCTGTGATATATTGTCCTTGTTCTTTAGAGTTCTATCAACATTTAAACAATCATGTTAAAGCATGAGTGAAAGCTACCATCATTTGGCCTAACCCAATCTATCAATTATTTTCACTTTTGTTTTCATGGCTATTATTTTGTACTTCACAAGAGTCCCCTACACATCACCATAGTTTTTCCTCTTGCTTCCAGATATATTGGCCTCTATAGAGCATTGTAGTACTATATACTGTTGCACTGTACAGTAAGCACACACCAACACAACTCTGACAATGTCCAACAGACACCTGACTTCTGTGATTTGTTTGCATCTACAAATGTTTATAACATGAGGCCCATACGTATCTGTGAATGTTCACAACTCAAAAGTACATAAGTTGGGGACTTACTGTATTGTAGCAGACGTATCTTCCCAGTATTAACAGACACTGGTTAATTGCAACCCAGTCTCAGCACCCTTTAATCTCTCCAAGGAAGACAAGCAGTGAGTTCTCCCTCTACATCCCTGTTTACATAGTAGTTATCCCTGCCTGCATATCAAATATCCCTCATGCATACCTGTTATCCCCAGATACCTCCAGCCAGATCTTTCCAGATCGTTCACATTGTGTGGAAGACAAGCAGTGAGTTCTCCCTCTACATCCCTGTTTACATAGTAGTTATCCCTGCCTGCATATCAAATATCCCTCATGCATACCTGTTATCCCCAGATACCTCCAGCCAGATCTTTCCAGATCGTTCACATTGTGCCACCTGATGTCTTCAAAACATACCTTTCCTACCTTCCCAACTTGTATTAAAAAAAAAAAAAATACTGGGTATCCTTGCTGCTCCTTGTCTTTGCTGCCCTAAGCAGCACCAAAACCCAGTTCTAAGTCTTGTTTCTTTTCTTTTACTTTTATTCAGCTTTGTGTTGTAGTATCTCATAGGAGACCAGGACCCACTGCAGGGGTCTCTGGTATCCCCTTTCCCATTTCCTATACTGGACAGCCTTTATAGGTCAACAAAAAAAAAAGGTGGGCTTACTAAAAGAAGTTTCAATGTACAGTACTGACACGTGGTTAGCTACATTGATGTTGCATATAACCAGTAGGATTTCTCTCTGAGATGCTGTCTGATTCTAATAAGCTGAGTAGATTGAAGAGGTGTATAAATACCAAACTAAAACCAAATCTGATATCACATCACTAGAACACATACACTAGCTTGATAACTTTCCATTTAAGCAGCTTAGTCTTTCCACTGCCCTTGACACTTCACCCTGAGCAGACTTGCAAACATACACACATACACAGAAACATGAGAAAACAAGACAATAAAATTACCCAAAAAATCCGAAACCACCTAACTGCTTATCCAGTTGGTACTAATAAGGAGGATTTAAAAAATCAATTCACTGAAGAGACAGCAGCAACAACAAAAGATCCAGATCAATGAGATAGTCAGGGAGCTCTAAGATGATGTAATTAAGCAGGTATAGGACTTAATTGATAAAATTATAAGTGAGCTGAAAGAAGCCACAGATAAAAGGCCGATGAATTAAATAAGATGTTATGAGACATGAATGAGCACTTCAGTAAAGAACCTTCATGATTCCAGGTAAGCAACCTGCATACTCAATGGTTAGCGCCAAGAGAAATCCTTGCTATGGAAGGAGGGATTGTCACTGTCTTAGAAATTAATCCTTGGAACATCCACCTTACAGCTTCTATCCTGAGCTCTGGATCTGTCTGAGGTCTTAGGCATAAGTGGTGGTGAAGGTCAGAGACCAGGTCCATCCCTCCTCACTGAGAGAGCCCAACAGTGTGGACTCCACTATCTGCCTTCTATTCATAAGGTCAAAAACTACGAATTGCAATAGAAACACTAAATAATTTATTTTATTAGCCTTAGTGAGTTCTAAATATAAGAGAGTTTATTGTGATATTTCATTACATTCATACAGTGTACATGGATCAAATTGGGTAATTAGGATTGCGTGTCCCTACCATTTCCCTGCACTTGGAGGCATCAAGTTCCTCCCATTTAAATATCTGCAAAACATAATAGGAATCTCTATGTGTGAACTCTATTGCAGAGAACCCCCGATCTGTACAGTTTACCTCATTTTATTCATGAGTTAAAATGTTATTTATAAAAATAAATATTAAATTCATGGATGGACGGTTGGACGGATGAAAAGACAAGTAGAGAGTTATATAGACGCACAGGTAAACATAATTGCTGCTTGCCTCGAGGGTCCTGACTCACACACACCGTCATTTTTCTATTTATCCAAATGTTATTTATGTTTCCATGCATTCATGTCTATTTACTTCTTACTTGAGCATGGGATCCAACACCATTCATTCATTTCACTGCTCCAGTTGTTCCAGCTCTGTCCTCTGAGAGCCCTTTCCTGTTTTCCCTCTGATGTTCCCAGAGTCTAACCGCAGAGCACTGTGCCGCGCCCCCATCCTCACTGTTCAGCCCTGTGGCTCCCCTGCATTCACGCTGCTGAGCACGGTCACACACCCACACTCTGGATTTTGAGGAGGCCCTGACTTCCTGGTGCTTCCGAATGCTCCTGAGCCAGTGCTAGATGAGATACAAGCCGCTTCTCCTCAGTGACCCACTTTGTGCTACTGAGGAAGCACTGATACATGAAGATGTGGGTCTGGGAAGAAGTCAGATGGAGAGGAATCTTTGGACACTGACAGGAAATCTGCCTTAAATGGCCCTTACATTTGCACCTATTTCTTGGCTGACCCTCAGCTCAGTGTATCCTGTGCACCCCCTTGTGGGCAAGAGTTCTCTTGCAGGAGTGTTGGGTGAGGGTTTACACCAGTGTCCCCTCACTGTGCCTCTCTCTCACACACTAATACAAGGTCTTTGGATCTTAGACTGTGTACCTGCAGACAGGCAATGCTTTTGGAGTCGCCACTGGAAATTGTCAGTCTTCCAGCACAGAGGTGGCGTATTCTGTCATGTACCTATTATGCTTGTTTCTCTTTGTAACCAGACCAACTCACTCCAGGCCTTTCCGAGAGCCAGGCAAACCCAGTTCATATACTATCCAGAGGCCACATGTGACAATCTCAGAGACCAGTGAGGCTGCACTAAGCCTCCCCTGGAACCCCCAGGTGCAGCTCATGCTGAACTCTTACAAGTACAGAGACATCCTGCTCAGGACACTGTTTATCCTACTCATGGCCACTCACATACGGGTATCTCTTATTCTTCATAAATCACCTTTTGAAAGAAGAACAACTAAACAGAGGAGAAGTTTGGCTCATGCTTTTAAAGGATTAAATCCATGCTCAGGTGAATCCAAAGCACAAACATCAAGGAGGAAGCTGGCTGAGGAGGAGTTTCCCAACTTTGCAGGAGAAGCAGAGCACAGGGGAAGACAAGAAGCAGGAGACAGACCTTAGAGGCAAAGTCCCAGTGAGCCACCTCCTCCAGCTGGGCCCCACCTCCCACATCACATCACCTCTCCTCGGTTCCTCTGCACACTCAGGTAGATGATTCAAATGAACTGGAGCAACAGACAGCTAGAAGTCAGCCTGCCAAACATCCATCCTGTGAATTCATAACTCAAGTTAAAGAAAAACCAGAGTCAGGTTGTCCCAGCCTGGCCAAGCTCATTCCCCGAGGTTTCTGCCCCTCTCAGGATGTGATTTTCACACTGTGTCTCGCACAGTAATACACGGCTGTGTCTTCAGCCTGCAGGCTGCTGATCTGCAGATATGCTGTGCTGACAGAGGCATCCAGGGAGAAGGTGAATCGTCCTGTGAAGCCCTCAGCATATGTGGGCTTTGCGGTTTGGGTGTTGATCCAGCCCATCCATAGCAGGCCTTTCCCTGGCGCCTGTTTCACCCAGTTTATACCATAGTCAGTGAAGGTGTAGCCGGAGCCTTGGCAGGACACCTTCACTGACTCTCCAGGCCTCTTCAGCTCAGCGCCAGACTGCAGCAGCTGGATTTGTGAGTGGACACCTGTGGAGAGGACACAGGAGTGTTGTGCACAGTGCAGCTGGCTCATTTTCCTCTGCAGCCCTGGGTGCTGGTTCCTTACCTGGGGCAGCCACCAGCAGGAAAAGGAGCCTGCACGTCCACTCCAGGCTGAGTGGGGTTAGAACTCAGGGCTTCTGGGAGACCGACGGGGTGAGTCCCTTGCTGCCTGAGTCAGGGGAGCCTCAGCTTTCTACTCAGTGACCTCCAGAGTTTTGCATAACCCTTGGGCTCCTCCTCTCCCACTGGACTAGATCAGGGTGAACATCCCGAGGTCCTAGGAGACCCTGCTCAGTTGGCTCAGCCCGAGTCCTGCAGTGTCTGTGCCTGAGTCCTACCTGTGAGTGGCAGCTGCAGTGTCCCGTGTCTAACACCGGGCGGTGACCGAACACTGATGTCCTCACTCGTGCCCACCTCTTGAGGTTTTCTCTGCTGCTTCCATCACATGGTACCTGAAACAGGACACAGTTCCTTCTCCAGATCTAATGTTGACCACTGACCGGGCTTCTGTGTGTGACCAGGTGACCTGACCCCATCCTGAGCACCATGGACTGGGTCCCGCTCACTACCAGGTGACCTCTGGGTTAGTTCCCAGGGCCAATGTCCAGAAGTGGGCTTCATTTTCTGTCTTCTTAGGATGTGTTACACAGGTCTGCAGGTCCTTTTTCGGTAGCATGAATATATATTTTAACAAATCATAGTGACAAAGTTGTTTCATTTGGTTCCCTCACATCAATTTATATGATAAAGTCTAGTAAGAAGATGTTGAAATTAATAGTAAATATATGTATATATGTATACATCCAATAAAATATGAACTGTATATTTGCTCTTTGTCCTACGGTATCAGAATATCCATATAATGAGGGCCAGAAAGTGTGACTTCCAATAAAACATGAAATCTCCATTTCCTACTTGAACTATGGCATCACAATATCCCCACAGAATTGCTAGAAAACGTGGCACTGATAGATTGACAATTCTGTGTAGAACCCAACAAAAGCAATAATTTGGAAGTCCTGTGAAAAAACCTCCTTTTTATCTCATAAAATAAAAATGCTATTATTTACAGTACAATCTTGATGAGACTGCCCAATACTATAAGGTGCTGTCTCACTGACTTCCATGTAAGACTTTTTCCCCAGTGTCTGGGAGCCGCCATGTTAACTGCGGAATCTCTTTCTGGTTCCCAGTTTCTATCACATCCACTCCTCCAAGCCGTGAAGAGCATTTGAAGTCTCATGGCTCACTGCAGCCGGGTCATCACTGACCTCCTGTTCCAACCCTATCCCCATGAAATAGGCGTTTCCAATAAGCCTCACTGGCTCCTTCCTGAAGCTGATGTACAGCGCCCCCTGCTGTAATGGTCATGTTTCACAGGTAGCGCTGTGATTCTCATCCCTTAGATTCTACACCAACAGAGCAGGTGAGTTCATAGCAATGCCGAGACAGACAGGGACAGGCATCCCTGAGAGCGTTCGGAAATAAATCTCCAGAATTCCAGTTTCAGTGTCAACCTACGAAAGTTCTCCTTAGTGAGAAAGTGTCGCCACTCTGAAAAAAAATATGGACACAAAATCAGAAGTGAATTTAGAGCATAATGCTACAATCTGGGCCAAAAGATTGAATGCATCCAGGGACACTGCTGAGCTGACTGGACATTGAGTCTCTGGATAAAGCTTGGGGTTAGGGGTCCCTTAGACCATGACTTCATATTAAATGGGGAAAATTGAATGATTCCTCTCTAAAATGAGAAATAAACAAGGATATCCACTCTCACTCTTTGTCAATGTAGTACTTTTATGGCTTGTATCTCAGTGTCCCCCCAAAGCCTCCTGTGTTCAATGGTGGGAATTTTCAGAGGTGGCTGGGTCTATGCAATGTAGCACTGGGATGAAGGAGATGTGGTCTGAATTAAGCCGCTAACTGGATGAGCGCAGTTCTGAGTGTGCCTTAGGAATTTACTGAAATGGGAAACCCCACCTCAGTTGGGTGGCACCAATCAATGGCTTGTAGTTTGGATGGAATATAAAAGGACCAAAGGAAGGCAGGTGGCACAGATGGAGTAAAAATGATCAAGGTGCAGAATGTGTGTGTATGAAATTCCCAGTCTATATACAGTCGCTATGATTGTAAAGATGCAATAAATAGTAAATAAATAATAAAAAGCACAAGGTGTAGAGTTAGTGAGGGGTTGTAGGAAGGAAGGAATGGGGAGTTAGTGGTCACTGTGCTCAGTATTTCTTTATGAGGAAAAAAGTACTTTGGAACTCGATGGAAGTGGTGGATAATGTACTGAATATGACCTAATTACATTTTACAATTGCCAATTTTATGTTTAGTGAATTTTGCATTCATTGCAAAAGTAAAAGAGATACAAAAGGGAACTAGCGTGAATGCAAAAGTCTCTTGCAAAAAAGAGAAACATAAATCAATGGCAACAAAAAGCCAATTATTCCAACATAATACATTCCTGAAAGTGTCATGCTTCTCAAGGATTCATGTGATTGATGATCTTGTGTGTTCTCCTCTACATGCCATGAAAGATCAAATAATAACTTTTGTTTTGGGTTAAGAAAAACTACCATACCTTCTAAAATGGTATAAAATTATTTCAACTGAGATCTTGAGTCATAGCCACTGTCAACTTGTAGATTTAAAAGCAATACTCAGTGAAGCAATTATATTATAAATTTAGGGACCCAACGTATTGCCATGGTGACAGTCAATGGGCCAACTAGTGCACCTTGTGGAGAAGGCACAGCCTTCCTATAGGGGGGCTTCCTATTGTAGACTGTGTGGTTCTTACAGCTCTGCCCAAGACACACGAGGGAGATGCCCAGAGCTTACAGGGACCTGACCCACATCTTTCAGGGGAGATTGATAAAAAAAAAAAAAAAAAAAAAAAAAAAAAGACCTTCACTGGGAAATGGGATTCCTGAACAGGTGTCTGAGTGTCTCCCTCTAAGGTAGAATCTGCCTTTCTCCACTTCAGCACCAATGCAGCCTCAGCCACAAACTCTTGTGCATCTGAGGCCACAAAGTCCCAGGCTTCAGAGTGGGAGTCTGGTTCTGGGTGAGAGCCGCTGCTTCCACGGTAGGCTCTCCTCCCACCTCCTGCACACAGGGGCAGATGTGACGATGACATCGTGGTGTGGATGTACACAGTCAGCTGGAGGTGTTTCCCACCCATCTATTTGTGTGTTTGTTGAGAGGACTTTGGGAACAGTACTATATGACAAGTCGGTTCAGTGCAGATCAAAAGTTGAACAATCTGGTTTCCTCCACAACTCTGACACTGGTGAGGAGTAGAGAGAAATTTTTGCTACTTGCTAAGTTTCCCAAAGGAGGGAACAAGGTGTCACGCTGGAGAATAATGGAGGCTTCTCTCACTGACTCAGAGGTGAAGAAAGCCTCTCTGATGAGCTGAGACCACAGGGAGAGAAAGGAAGAGCCCACACCAGGAAGCTCAGGAAGGAAGAGGAGAGCAGCTGGAGAAATTCACTCTGCAGGCAAAGCTGTTCTGTTTAGGGGCACTGAGAAGAGAACAAGGAGCAAAGGCTTCCTGCCTGCATTTCTCTTTTCCTGTGTGTACATGTCTGTCTGTCATAATTATAATTTCTGACTGTAAATCAATTCTAGACTCCCCACTGTATTTATTTTAGAATTAAGGGAACAGAAAGAAAAGCAGTCATGAACCATAGAAGGTTCCACCAAACTTACACCACTCATAACTGTTTCCTTTCTCGCCTTCTCCAGAGGGGACACTGCATCTCCTCTGTGTCTGTCTCTCTCATTTTCTATCCCATTTCTTTACATATTGTGATTGGTTTACAATTTTAACAAACATCATCACGCTGCTTTCAGGAGAATGTGATTTGGCCAATATCTTGCCTTTAGACAACAGTAATTCAGGAGCACTGAGAAACTTTCCTTTTTAATGTAAATTTGATGTAGAACACAGGGAGACCTCCTAACATATGAGTAGATGTGAGAATGAAAGAGGTACAGGGAGGATTTCTAGAGCCTTACTGAGGGCCTGAGCTGCCTTCCTGGTCAGGAAGAGGCCAGGTTGAGTACTAAGGTTGGTGGCAGAGGTAAACTTGCATATTTGTTAACTTGGGGCATGGATTAGCTCTCCAGTGCAGATGGAGAGTGAAGAGCTGTATGGATGAGTCCAAAGTAGAGCAGCCAGGTTGGTGAGGGCAAATTTCTTTTATCAGCTCAGTAAAAAAAGGCTCCATAGGAAAAAGAGTGGCAAAATGTGAGGAGCGATTCTTGTAAATACCTGTGATGGACTTGAAGGACTGTAAGATGACAGAGCAGGAAATAGCTTGCCTAGGGAGTATCACACCAGAATGAAAAGACATCCCTAGCCACATTCAGTAATTGTCCTTGAAGCTTGACTCTGGCTTAGTGGTCATAGGTGCCCCCTGCTGGTCATGAGCACACCTGCAGGGAGGTTTATGTCTGGGCTCACACTGATGGCCTCTCACTGTGTCTTGCACAGTAATACACGGCGGTGTCCTCGGGGGTCACGGAGTTCAGCTGCAGGGAGAACTGGTTCTTGGCTGTGTCAGCAGTGATGGAGATGCGGTCCTTGAACGCTGGGTTGTAGTTTGTGCTACCTGACCACCACCCCATCCACTGTACAGCTTTCCCAGGAGGCTGACGGATCCAACTCCAACCATAACTAGTAGTGACAGAGCCCCCGGTGACAGTGCAGGTGAGGGACAGGGTCTGTCCAGGCTTCACCAAGCCAGGTCCTGACTCCTGCAGTGTCGGATCACACAGGACACCTGAGGACAAGGGGAGTCATGGTGAGTCTTTCCCATCCCACTCCCAGGCCCCTGTAAACAACTAGAGATCCCAGGACCCTCACCGAGAGGAGCAGTCATCAGGCACAGAAGGGTCCAGAGGGTCTTCATGGTGTCTGCAGGATGGAGACCTCCACAATAGCCTGTCTGGTGACAGGAATTTGTTCTGCTAGCTCCTAGCCTCATTTGCATGTGTGTTTGGAGGGGCTGCATATAGGAGGCTGAGCTTGGGTGACTGTCACTATTTCTGAGATCTGGTACTCAGTATGGTAGCTGCCTTGCCTGGCCCTGGTTATCTGGGATTTATCCTTTTCTAAGCCGTACTCTGTTCTGTGACTTTGCATGGGTCAGTCGTGAAGTTGATGACCATGTAAAGAACATGGTGAGGGTTTTGCTTCTGTTTTCTATGAGACCAGTCAGGCTGTGGATGAAATTGTATTTATTTATTTATTTATTTATTTTTGTACTGGGATTGAACTCAGGACCTTGATATTAGTGTTTCTAATTATTTCTCCATATTACTGTGATCATCACACAGATGTTCATGAGCATATCAGAAATGTGTCTTCATACTCTTGTTGATTTGATGTTAGTAGTTCTCAGTTGGAAATTTTCTCTTTCTTGCCATTTTCTGTCTTCTAATGTCATCACAAATTCTTCTCCAACATAAGGGATCTTCCTAGAGAGTGCTGTGCTTCCTAGAACACATAAGACAGCATGGACTGAAATGCTACATATATTCATCCAGCCAATGAGTATAAGATGTGCCAGACATCGACACAATTGATGTGAACATTTGAGATGAGAGCAAAATCATTGGAGAAGACATTTCTGAAGTGTGTTTATCACACACAGGATAGGAACACTCATCTGAATGGGGGATCGGAACTGAGGTTTCCACCTCAGAGGGTATCTTTGTACAACATAAATTTAGTTCTTAAGGGAGAAGCCAAACTGTATTTATTGTGCATAGCACGATGTTCTGAAGTACTTGTGCAGGGCGCAAAGGCCCAGTTGAGCCAGGTGACACCTTCATCAATACCTGCCTGCTAAAATATTAGAGAGAAGCTGAGTTTGGTGGTACATGAAACCAAGGCGAATACAGAGGTCACAAAGCTCAGGCCTGGGCATGGTAAGAAACCAAACCCTCAGCACCTCTGCCCCAATCTGGATAAATCTTTAACCCACTCTGAGCACCATCAATGCCAATCTGAGTCAATACTAGTGAGGAAGCCATGGGAGGATGGGGACCCTAGCGGTGAGGAGTAAGCACCATCCACTTGATGCCTGCTTCCCATTGACCACTGCACATGCAGTGACATCTTGTACTCAGAAACTGCAGCATAGGAAAGGAAAGAGTCCTTATAGGGAGACTGAAGACCCAACAACAGGTGATCAACCTGCAGAGGCTGACTACAAAGTGTTTCTGAATTCTATAATGCTTTAAATTAGTGAACAATAAAGACCTAGAAATGAAATGATAATGGAGGAATAAAATTTTAAGGAAAAAAAGGACTTTCTGATGTATAAAAAAGTCAAATTACTGAGTATAACTGTAGGCAATGAAATATGCAAAGCTCTCAATGAAGAAATCACACCACACTTGAAATCCTGGATGGAATAAATAATATTAGATATATTGTCAAAGACCCTTGGGAAGGAAACACATTATATTTACTTCTACATATGAATTTCTCTGTGTTTCGAAGAAACAGAAAAAATACCAACAAAAAGTAAGAAACAAACAATAGGAATTGCAAATACATAGATTGTGCTAGAGCTGATGCTAAGCAATGTACTTCTCATGCCGGGTGTTGCCTGTGCATGGAGCACAGGGAGGCTGAGAAGGAGAAAAAGCTTGGGCCACTTGAGTCAGTGTTCCATGTGTCCACAGGAACCTCCCCATATCCTGTCACTTGTGATCTGATCGTGACAACAGGGACATTGCAGAGGTGGTTACCTCCAATATCCTGAAGGGATATTATTATTATCCAGTGCCATCCAAGTAGACTCAGTATAGTCAAAAGTGTCCCTATAGGTAGAAAGAAAGAGGGTCAGGGCCAGGGCAAAGGTGAGGTGTTTATGGGAGCTGAGATTACAGTGATGTGCTTTGATAGAGGAAGAGGGGAACCTGCTAAGGAAGATAGGCAGCTCCTAGAGGCTGGAGAAGGCCTAAACGTGGGATCTGCATGTAGCTTTCAGGAGCAACAGCGCTGCCAACTTCTTGCCTTAGAGCAATAGCACTTCATGACTACCGAGAAGCTGTACCTTGTGACTGTGTCTTTCACTTGGAACACAACACTGGAGTTCCTAATATATGCATGGATGGGAAAATGAAGGGGATCTTCGGGAATATTCCAAGGGCCTCATGGAGAGGCTGGGCTGCCTTGACTGTAACAGTTCAGAAAGAGGCCAGGGAGAAGAAGAAGGCAGGTGGCAGAGGTAAATTTCCACCTGTGCAAATGCGGGGCACTGATTATACCTCCAAGTGATGATGGAGAGTAAAGAGTTGTACGGATGAGTTCGGAGCAGATAAGGCGGATTGATGTAGGGAAATCTGTTTATTCAGCCCGGGGAAAAGAGTTCTGTAGGAAGTAAAAGGAGCAAAAAGTAAGGAGTGAATCTGTAAACATCTAAGTCACAAATATGAGGAAATGTAAATGACAGAGCCAGGAATGATTTGATGGATAGCGAGTGTCACACCAGTCTCTGAAAGGAGATCTATAATTAACCAGAGTTGCGCTCTGAGCTCGGTGGTCATGGTGCAACATGCTATTCATGAATACAACTGCAAAGAGGTTTGTGTGGGCTCACAATGATGTCCACACACTATGTCTTACACAGTAAAACATGGCTGTGTCCTCCCTGGTCACGGAGTTCAGCTTCAGGAGAACTGGCTCTTTGCGGTGTCAGGAGTGATGGAGATGTGGCCTTCAACAGCTAGGGCAGGTTGTACCTCGTGTACCCTGGCCAGAACCTCAACCACTGTAGAGCTTTATGGAAAGTCTGGCAGATCGAGCTCCAGCAGTAACTCCTAGTGACACAGTCTCCTGAGACAGTGCAGGCGCGGGACAGGGTCTGTCCAGGCTTCACCAGGCCAGGTCCTGATCCCTGAAGTGTCAGATCAGACTGGACATCTGAGGACAAGGGGAGTCATGGTGAGTCTTTCCTATTCCACTCACAAAACCTCTAAACTTCTCATCAAATGTTTGCCAACCACTCCAGGCCCTTTCCTGTGGGCTGATGGATCCAGTTTACATCCATACCAGATGTGCTGAGTGAGAAACCTGAGAAGCAACTGGTCAGCTTAATAGGCGAGGCCAGGGGTAGA